ATCTTTACAAAAGCGCGACAATGATTATTTTCTACTAATCACAAAGATATTGGAACTTTATATTTAATTTTTGGAGCTTGATCAGCTATAGTTGGAACAGCTCTAAGAATACTAATTCGAGCTGAACTTGGTCAACCGGGTAGACTAATTGGAGATGATCAAATTTATAATGTAATTGTTACAGCTCACGCTTTTATTATAATTTTTTTTATAGTTATACCTATTATGATTGGAGGTTTTGGAAACTGACTTCTACCGTTAATGTTAGGAGCACCAGATATGGCTTTCCCTCGATTAAATAATATAAGATTCTGGCTTCTTCCTCCAGCTTTAATATTATTAATTAGTGGTTCTTTAGTAGAGGCGGGGGCTGGAACAGGATGAACAGTTTACCCTCCTTTATCAAGTAACATTGCTCATTCTGGTGCTTCAGTTGACTTATCAATTTTCTCTTTACATTTAGCAGGTGCTTCGTCAATTTTAGGTGCCATTAATTTTATGTCTACAGTTATTAACATACGAGCTGAAACACTGACATTTGATCGACTTCCATTATTTGTCTGAAGAGTATTTATTACTGTAATTCTTTTACTTTTATCACTTCCAGTACTAGCAGGAGCTATTACTATGTTGCTAACAGATCGAAATCTAAATACCTCATTTTTTGATCCAACAGGAGGTGGAGATCCAATCTTATACCAACATCTATTTTGGTTTTTTGGGCATCCTGAGGTTTATATTTTAATTTTACCAGCTTTTGGAATGATTTCACATATTGTAGCCAGTGAAAGTGGTAAAAAAGAATCTTTTGGAACTTTAGGAATAATTTATGCTATGATTGCAATTGGAATTTTAGGGTTTGTTGTATGAGCTCACCACATGTTTACAGTTGGAATAGACGTTGATACTCGAGCATATTTTACTTCTGCTACTATAATTATTGCTGTGCCTACAGGAATTAAAGTCTTTAGTTGACTTGGAACTTTACACGGTACACAATTTTCTTATAGCCCTCCTCTTCTTTGAGCTTTAGGATTTCTATTTTTATTTACTGTTGGAGGGGTAACAGGAGTAGTTCTTGCTAATTCATCTATTGATATTGTTCTTCATGATACATATTACGTAGTAGCTCACTTCCATTACGTCCTATCTATGGGGGCTGTATTTGGTATTATAGCCGGAGCAGTCTACTGATTTCCATTGTTAACAGGAATTACTATGAAACCAAAATGATTAAAAATTCATTTTGGATCTATATTTATTGGAGTTAATGTAACTTTCTTTCCTCAGCACTTTTTAGGGTTAGCGGGTATACCTCGACGATATTCAGACTATCCAGATGCTTATACTGCATGAAATGTAGTTTCATCAATTGGTTCTACCTTATCTTTTATTAGAGCTTTAGGGTTTATTTATATTATTTGAGAGGCTATGGTTTCTCAACGACCTACAATTTTTAGACCAAATCTATCCTCTAACTTAGAATGAGTTCACACTACTCCTCCTCATTACCATAGTTACGACGAATTACCTCAGTTTACAATTCGATATCTGAAATGGCAGAATAGTGCTGTAGATTTAAGATCTACCCAAAAAGGTTCAAGTCCTTTTTTCAGAATATAATGTCAACATGATCACAACTTAGATTTCAAGACAGAGCTTCTCCATTAATAGAAGAATTAATTATATTTCACGATCACGCTATACTAGTTTTAACTTTAGTAACTACTTTAGTAGGTTATATTATTTTAACTATATTTAGAAATAAATTTATTGACCGATTTTTACTTGAAGGTCATTTAATTGAAGTAATTTGAACAGTAATTCCAGCTTTCTTACTAATTTTTATTGCTTTACCATCCCTTCATCTTTTATATTTATTAGATGAATACGATAATCCATCTTTAACTATTAAATCTATGGGACATCAATGATATTGATCCTATGAATATTCAGATTTTTTAGATATTGAATTTGATTCTTATATAATTCCCTCAAAAGACTTAGAAGACAACCAGTTCCGTTTAATTGAAGTTGATAACCGGATAATTGTTCCTATAAATACATATGTCCGAATTCTAGTTTCCTCAACTGACGTTATCCACTCATGAACTGTTCCAGCTTTAAGAGTTAAAGCAGATGCCATTCCAGGACGATTAAATCAACTTACATTTCTAGTAAATCGACCAGGATTATTTTTCGGGCAATGTTCGGAGATTTGTGGAGCTAATCATAGTTTTATGCCAATTGTGGTAGAGAGAATTTCAATGAATTCATTTTTAAACTGAATTAACAATTTTGAATAAAAGTAAAGTAAATCCCCAGCCTTATAGTTGAATTATCTGTAAAGATACTTTTAGGTTTATCGGTATTATATATTGATAGAAAATTTAGTTAAAATTTATAACATCAGCTTGTCATGCTGAAATTGCCTATTAAGGCAATTTTCTTAAGTTACATTATAATAATTTATTAATTTTCTAATTTCTAGCTTAGTTATTGAGTTGCTTTATACTAAAATATTAGCAAATTTTATGATTTAATAATGTTACATGATTTTTCAAAACCTTTATTTGATGAAAAAATTTAGTTTACAGACATAAACTTAAAAGTTTAAAAATCTAATTTAGAAATTTTTTATTCCTCACATATCACCAATTTTTTGAGCATTAATTATAGTTATAACTTTTTCAATAATTTTGATTCTTTTATCAATAATTTATTTTAGTAATTCCCCTAGAACACCTGACTCTTCAAAAATTACAAAGAGTAGTGTTAGATTTAACTGAATATGATAACAAACTTATTTTCCTCTTTTGACCCTATATCTTCAACTTTTAATTTACAACTAAATTGATTGTCTATATTCTTATTTATTATTGTATTTTATCCTTTATACTGAATTTCGAATTCTAAATCATCAGTTCTTTATAGTGAGCTCACATCTTATATCACAAAGGAATTTATGCCTTTATTTAAAAGTTACAAAAATATTATTATATTTAATGTTTTATTTATATTTATTCTAATTAATAATGTTTTTGGGTTAATACCTTACACTTTTACTAGAACTGCCCATATTGCAATAACTTTATCAATGGCTTTGACTATCTGGGTAATTTTTATATTATACGGATGAGTTAACAACACAAATCATATATTTGCTCACTTAGTTCCTTTAGGAACTCCTATTGTTTTAATACCATTTATGGTATTAATTGAATCTATTAGAAATATTATTCGTCCTATTACCTTATCGGTACGTTTAGCTGCTAATCTAACTGCTGGTCACTTGCTTTTAATTTTGCTTGGAGAGAGTATGGTTAATAATAGAATTCTAATTATTATTACCGTGACTGCGGCTCAATTCGCTTTAATAACTCTTGAAGCAGCTGTAGCTGTAATTCAAGCTTATGTTTTTGCTACTTTATCCACTTTATACGCTAGAGAAGTATAATGACAACTCATTCACATCACCCCTTTCATTTAGTTGATATAAGCCCATGACCTCTAACAGCCTCAATTGGAGCTTTAACAATAACTTCAGGTTTATCTTATTGATTCCACTACAATTCAATAGGAATTTTAATTTTAGGTTTATTTATTATTGTAATTTCCTCTTACCAGTGATGACGAGATATTGCCCGAGAAGGAACCTTACAAGGTCATCACAATTCAAGAGTTATTTCTAATTTACGATGAGGAATAATTTTATTTATTGTTTCAGAAGTGTTCTTCTTCGTTTCATTTTTCTGAGCATTTTTTCACGCTAGTTTAGCACCTTCAGTAGAAATTGGTACCCAGTGACCGCCTGCAGGTATTATTCCTTTTAACCCCTTTCAAATTCCTTTACTTAATACAGCAATTTTACTTGCTTCTGGAGTAACTATTACTTGATCTCACCATGCTCTAATAAATGGCAATCATCCACAATCCGTTCAGGCCTTAATTCTAACCATTATTTTAGGTGTATATTTTACTATTTTGCAAGCATATGAGTATATTGAAGCTCCCTTTACAATTGCTGAAGCTGTTTACGGTTCCACTTTTTTTGTAGCTACTGGATTTCACGGGTTACACGTAATTATTGGTTCTACATTTCTAATAGTATGTTTATACCGTATAACAAAATTCCATTTCTCTTCTACCCATCACTTTGGATTTGAAGCTGCAGCTTGATATTGACATTTTGTTGATGTAGTGTGACTTTTCCTTTATGTATCTATTTATTGATGAGGAGGATGCTTAATTAGTATAAAAAGTATTATAGACTTCCAATCTGTAGGTCCCAAAGATTAGGATTGAGCAATTAAACTATTATTATTAAACTTTTTTATCGCCGTAATTATTAGATCCCTCCTAATTTTACTATCAACACTATTTTCAAAGAAAACAATTTTAGACCGAGAGAAAGTATCCCCATTTGAATGTGGATTTGATCCTAAAAACACCTCTCGGATCCCATTTTCAATTCGGTTTTTTTTAATTGCTATTGTATTTTTAATTTTTGATATCGAAATTTCAATTTTATTACCTTTAGGATTAATTACAAATTCTATTCCTCCTATCCTCTGAATAACAGCAGGTGGATTATTTTTGCTGTTAGTAACATTAGGATTGTACTATGAATGAAAAGAAAATACTTTGGAGTGGATTACTTGAATAAGAAGCGAATTATTGCTATCGGTTTCGACCCGGTCATTGATCTCTTGGTCCTTATTCTTTTAATTATAGCTAAAATAAGCAATATCACTGTTAATGATAAGATAAGTGTAAACTTTAATTAAGAAAGTAGAAGTTTTTAAAATATTTGACCTGCAATCAGAAGAAGATAATTAAATTATCCTACTTTAATCTTAGTGGTGTAAATAACACGCTTCATTTTCGTTGATGAGATGAAAACTTTTTTTTCCTAAGATAGAAAATGAAAAATCTTGAAGCTGCTAACTTTGAGCCTTGCAAATTATGTAACATTTTCTTTCTAAAAAATATACATATTAAAAGACCTTGGTCACCTTTGCAGCTTCAATGCAAAACTCTAAACTTGAGCTATTTTAATTTAAAAAAATATAAATACTCTAACTAGAATTCATAAAATTAAAATAAAAACTTTTAAAGAATTTATACTTATAATCTGAATTTTTAAAGATATATTTCTAATATAACTTCTAATTCCTTGACCCCCTAGATATTCAAGTCAGCCTATGTCTCCAAATTTCATAATTTCTGACCCCAATTTCAGAGGAATATAAGTTATAGGTTGAGAAGATAGATAAGGTAAAAATCATATAGATCCTCTAAATCAAATCATTAAAGAAAATTTTATTTTAGAAAAAGTATAAGAAGATTGAGATATAAAAAACCCTAAAATTAAACCTAAAATACAAACTGTTAAAGTAAGATTTTTTAGACTTTTTGGTAGAATAATTGAGTTTACATCTATTCTTAATCAAGAGATTAAAGCTCCAAAAAACACAGAAAAAGTTACCAGCCCAATACAAGACTTTACTATAACCCCTCAGCCATCACTTAAATTTCCCGACCCACTTATTACATAGTCACGGCGTACTATATAATAAATTAAGCGAAAAGTATAAGCTACAGTTAAACCAGTAGACAAGAATAGTATAAATAAACTTAATAAGTTTAATTCCTCTATTAGGGATAATTCTAAGATTATGTCTTTTGAGTAAAATCCTGCTAAAAACGGCATTCCTCTTAAAGCTAAATTTGAAACTACAAAGCATGATCTAATAAAAGGTAAAGAAATTATTATATTTCCTATTATTCGGATATCTTGTCAACCTTTAAAACCGTGGATAATACAACCAGCACTTATAAATAATAATGCTTTAAATAGAGTATGCATTAACAAATGAAATAGAGCTACCTTTACCAATCCTAAAGATAAGCTGTATATTATTAAGCCTAATTGTCTAAGAGTAGATAAAGCAATAATTTTCTTTAGGTCAAATTCAAAGCAAGCTCCAAGTCCAGCCATAAACATGGTTAAAACAGAAAGAATTATTAAAAGTTCATTTATTCAAAAATCATAAACTCATCCGAGCCGAATTACCAAGTAAATTCCTGCTGTTACTAAGGTAGAAGAATGAACTAAAGAAGAAACTGGAGTAGGAGCAGCTATAGCTGCTGGCAACCAGGCAGAAAAAGGAATTTGAGCACTTTTAGTTAAAGAAGCTAAGACAATTAAAGCTCTAACCAAAATTAGTCTGTTAGATGAACCCAACCATGCAACAAATCTTCAATCCCCAAAGTTAATTATTCAAACAATTCCCAACAAAATTAACACATCTCCTACTCGATTAGATAAAACCGTTAAAGTTCCAGCATTTAAAGACTTATAATTTTGGTAATAAATTACCAAACAATATGATACTAACCCAAGGCCATCTCAACCTAATAAGATTCTAATCAAGTTTGGGCTAAAAATTAATAGACCTATAGAGCCTACAAAGCCGGCTAGTAAAAAAATAAAACGGGATAAATTAATCTCTCCTTCTATGTACTCCCCCGAGTAATAAAAAACTCTACCAGAAATAAAGAGGACAAAAGATAAAAATATTAGACATACTCAGTCCAATAAAAAAATTATATTAATATCAGTGGATCCTCAGGAAAAAATGTTCCATCTTAAATATAGACTGTAAGATAGATTTAAAAACAACATTCTAGAAAAGAACAAAATGAAAGAAAAAGAGAAAAACAAAAGAAAAATTAAATTTCATATTCTTAAGACAAACATAGTCCAAAGTAAACTTTTACATCTCAAGTACCACAAACTTGAATTTTAATTAAACTATTTAGACAATAAGTTATAAAATCTACTTCTAAAATTAAAAAGAATAAAGGAAAAAAATGTAAAAATAAAATTAAATATTCTCGTACTAATCCGTCTGATAATGATCGGACCCCACTAAAATAAGATCCGTGTTGGGTTGAGGAAAATAGGTATAGGCTATAACAGGCTCCTATAAAAGAAAATAGTATAAGCAAAATCAAAGATAAAAAACTGAATCTCAAAATTCTTCCTAAGAGCCCTAGTTCTCCCACTAAGTTTAAGACAATAGGTGCTGCCATATTTCCAATACAATATATAAATCATCAAAAAGCTATGCTCGGCATAATTTCTAATATTCCTTTATTAATTATCATTCTACGAGAACTTCTTCGTTCATAGATTACTCCAGATAAAAAGAACAAGCCAGATGAACATAGCCCATGAGCCACACATGTATATAAACAAGAACTATATCCTCATAATCCTCATCTTCCTAATCCACCTAATGCCAGACCCATATGTCTGACAGAAGAATAAGCGATTAAAGCTTTTAAATCTACTTGACGTAAACAAATAAATCTAACAGCTAGACCTCCCATTAACCCTAGGGAAACTAATACTCTACTTAAAAAAGCCACTTTACCTTGAAAGAATATCATAAATCGTATAAACCATAACCTTCCAATATTTCCAATACAATAAAATAAATCATCAAAAGCTATGCTCGGCATAATTTCTAAATATCCTTTATAATATCATCTACGAGACTCTCGTTCATAGATTACTCCAGATAAAAAGAACAAGCCAGATGAACATAGCCCATGAGCCACACATGTATATAAACAAGAACTATATCCTCATAATCCTCATCTTCCTAATCCACCTAATGCCAGACCCATATGTCTGACAGAAGAATAAGCGATTAAAGCTTTTAAATCTACTTGACGTAAACAAATAAATCTAACAGCTAGACCTCCCATTAACCCTAGGGAAACTAATACTCTACTTAAAAAAGCCACTTTACCTTGAAAGAATATCATAAATCGTATTAAACCATAACATCCTAATTTTAGCAATACACCTGCTAATATTATGGATCCAGAAACTGGAGCTTCTACATGAGCTTTTGGTAATCATAAATGTACATAGAAAGCAGGTAATTTAACTAAAAAAGCGAAAATAGAAAATATAAACCAAAAACTAACTCACATAGATTCGTCGCACCCGAAGCTTAACAAAGATATACTGAATCCTCCAACATAGTCTCCAACAAAGAAAATAGAGATCAATAAAGGCAAAGAAGCAAAGATGGTATAAAGCAAAAGATAAATCCCAGCTTGTAAACGTTCAGGTTGGTATCCTCAACCTACAATTAATAAATAAATGGGAATTAGTGAGCCTTCAAAGAAAATGTAGAAAGATAATAAATCTGAACAAGTAAAAGTAAAAAATAATAAAAGTAATATTAGTATTAAAACGAAAGTAAATTTTTGATAAAAGAAGTTTGTCACTTTATAAGAGTGGCTTGATAATAATATTAAAACAATAATCCAAAATGTCAAAATTACTATGAACCATCTTAGAGAATCACAGCTAAAATATGATATGCTGACTAAATTAGAGTTATATATAAATAATCACCCTAAACCTAGAAATACCAAGTAAGAAATAAAGGTTATAAACTCATTTAAAAAAGATATAATTAATAATCCAAAAATTAATGAAATAAACTTTAACATTTTAAAACATTAAAACTGCTAATATAGTCGGAACCATGTGATCGCACTATTCCAACTATTATCCCAACTCCTAAACTACCTTCGCACACAGAAGCTACCAAGAAAATAAGGCTAACATAAGTTTCTAGACCTATTAAAAAAGTTACAAGTATAAGTAATATAAAGATAGAGAGAACTAAATATTCCAATCTAATCAATATATTCATTAAATGCTTTCGTTTAGAAATATAGATTCAAGTTCCTACTAAAAATATAAATATCGGTATAAAAAAAAGTAAAACTGTCACTCAGAAAAACCTGGGTAAGGCATCTTAGATTTCCAAAACCTAAATTTTTGTTAAACTATTTTCTGGAGTCTATGTAATTTATATAAAATACCGGTCTTGTAAATCGGAAAAAGAATTATTTCTCCTAGACTATGATAATTAACACTTTAATAATTATAATATTTATAATAAATTTAATTTTCTTATTCATGTTCCACCCGCTAGCTATAATTTTTGTTTTAATTTTGCAAACGATATTAATTTCTATTATTATATATAGAATCACACAATTTCCCTGGTTTTCATATACCTTAATTCTAGTGTTTTTAGGAGGAATGTTAATTCTGTTTACCTATATATCTAATATTGCATCTAACGAGATATTTAAACCGAACTTGAAGATAATGGCTCCTTTAGTACTAGCTCCTTTAATTACAATTTTTATAATGAAACCGAAGCAAAGACTAACTCTAGAAACTAAAATTTCTTCTTCAAACCAATTTTCTAACTTAATGGTTTTGAAACCATTCTCCGAGGCCATTATACCGGTTACATTATTAATAGCTTCGTATATTATCCTTACACTTCTCACCGTTGTAAAGATTAGAAAAATATCGCAAGGTCCTCTTCGAATTGTTTAATAATGTCAAAACCCATACGAAAAACACACCCCTTAATTAAAATTATAAATGGTTCTTTGGTTGATTTACCATCTCCTACGAATATTTCTTATATATGAAACTTTGGATCCTTATTAGGATTATGTTTAGGAATTCAAATTGTTACAGGATTATTTCTGGCTATACATTTTGCTTCAGATATTAGTATTGCTTTTTCATCTGTTGTCCACATTATACGAGATGTAAATAGAGGATGATTAATCCGAACGCTGCATGCTAATGGAGCTTCATTCTTCTTTATTTGTATTTATCTTCACGTCTCGCGGGGAATTTACTATGGATCATATAAAATGTTCCATACTTGAATGACAGGAATTGTTATTTTATTCTTGACTATGGCTGCTGCCTTTATTGGTTATGTATTACCATGAGGTCAAATGTCGTTCTGAGGGGCTACAGTAATTACTAATCTATTCTCTGCTATTCCTTATATTGGACCGAGCCTTGTAGAATGAATGTGAGGAGGTTTTGCCGTCGATAATGCCACTTTGACCCGATTCTTTGCCCTTCATTTTCTTGTTCCCTTCTTAATTTTAGGAATAGCAGTTGTTCATCTTCTTTTTCTTCACCAAACAGGATCTAATAACCCTTTGGGAGTAAATAGAAATGTTGATAAAATTCCGTTTCACCCTTATTTTACATTCAAAGACATTTTTGGTTTCTGTATTATAATTTTTGGTTTAATCATAATTACATTATGAAGTCCTTACTTGTTAGGAGATCCAGAAAATTTTATTCCGGCTAACCCTTTAGTTACTCCGGAACATATTAAACCGGAATGATATTACTTATTTGCTTATGCTATTTTACGATCAATTCCCAATAAATTAGGAGGGGTAATTGCTTTAGTAATATCTATTTTAATTCTAGCCATTTTACCTCTATCACAAAAAAGAAACTTTCGGGCTTTAACTTTTTATCCTGTATCTAAATTTCTTTTCTGATCATATATTAGAACAGCCATCCTTTTAACCTGAATTGGAGGTATACCAGTAGAAGACCCTTATATTATTATTGGCCAGCTTCTGACATTGTTTTATTTTTCTTTCTTTATCACTTGTCCTTTGGCGAATCTATTATGAGATAAATTGATTCAAAAATAGCTGTTTGGCTGACTGGAAAGCAGGTGCTTTGAAAGCATTAAATAGAAGTTCGAATCTTCTAACAGTTTTCCCTTCCCCCTTTTTTGTGTTATGCCAAAAGGTGGCTGAGTTTTAGGCATTAGATTGTAAATCTAAATACGAGTTTTTCTCCCTTTTGATTGTACAATTTTTAGAACCACATAAAAGAATTATCTTATATTTAAATTAAAAGTTTAATGCTTTATTAATTTAAGCTATTATGTGATTATAATTAATAATAGTAGAATTACACTACTTCTTTTGTAGTCAAATTACAATGTTCCTATAAACTAATTATTAAAATGGTGACTCAGAGAGTAAGTTCACATTTGCAGAGTGAAATTTTATACTTAAATTACACCATTAGATTACTTCAAAAACTACTTTGAAACCCATATATATAAATAAACAATGAAGAGTAAAAGGTAAAATTCTTTTTCAAGCCAAACTTATTAATTTATCATACCGGTAACGGGGAAGGGTACCTCGTAATCATAATACCAAAGTAATAAAAAATCCTACCTTTAAAAAAAATGTAAAATATAAATCCCCACTTAGAAATAAGATAACTATTACTGTTCTTATTAAAATAATTATAGAATATTCACCCAAAAATAATAAAGCAAAGCCCCCAGCTCTATACTCAACATTAAAACCTGACACTAATTCAGATTCTCCTTCAGCAAAATCAAAAGGAGTTCGATTTATTTCAGCTATACAAGATACAATTCAAACAAGAGATAACAAATAAAAAAAGAAAATAAAATAAAAAGAATTTTGATATTCGACAAAATCTTCCAATCTATATTCTCCAACAACAATAATAAAAGATAAAAGAACTAAAGCTAATCTTACTTCATATGAAATAGTTTGAGCTACAGCCCGTAAACCTCCTAATAGAGCATATTTTGAGTTAGACGATCATCCAGCAATTATTAAAGGGTAAACTCCCAATCTTAAAACACATAAGAAAAAGAAAAATCCAAACTCAAAATCAAAAAACCCAGTTATAAAAGGTATCATAGATCATAAAAATAAAGATATAAAAAATATAAATACAGGAGAAAAAAAATATAAAAGGTAATTAGAAACAGAAGACCAAGTCTGTTCCTTTGTAAATAATTTAATAGCGTCAGAAAATGGTTGTAGAATTCCAGAAATTCCAACTTTATTAGGACCTTTACGAATTTGAATATAACCTAATACTTTTCGTTCCAATAAAGTTAAAAATGCAACTGAAATTAAAACACAAACTAATAACAAAATGTAGTAAATAATTAATATCACTATAAATTGGAAAGCTTTAATTTCCATATTTAGATTCTAAATCTAATACAATTGTCTGCCAAATTTATATAATAAATATTAGTAATCCTCAATACAATATAATAATTATAATTAACCAATCCTTTCGTACTAAGTTAAAATAATAAATTTAGAAGATAGAAACCAACCTGGCTTACGCCGGTCTGAACTCAGATCGTGTAAAATATTATAGGTCGAACAGACCTTAAAGCAGAACTGCTGCACCCTGCCTAAATTTTAGTCCAACATCGAGGTCGCAAACCTTTTTGTCGATTAGAACTCTCAAAAAAGATTACGCTGTTATCCCTAAGGTAATTTTTTCTTTTGATCTTTTTAAAAGGGTCAAACTATATTTTAATTAAAATTTTTAAAATAAAGAGTTTTGTTTATCTTAATGTCGCCCCAACAAAATACTATTTTAAACTTTATCTATAAAAATCTAATAAGAAAAAATTTATCTTAATATAAAACTCTATAGGGTCTTCTCGTCTTTCTAACTTATTTTAGCTTTTTCACTAAAAAATTAAATTCAATATTCATGACAAAAAAAGTTAATTTTTCGTTTAGCCATTCATACCAGTCTCCAATTAAAAGACTAATGATTATGCTACCTTAGCACAGTTAGGATACTGCGGCTCTTTAATTAATCAGTGAGCAGGCCTTACCTCTTTATCTAAGAGGAAATGTTTTTGTTAAACATTCGAAAATTATATTTGCCGAGTTCTTTTGTCAAGTTTTCTACGATTAACTAGCAATGATTTACTTGAATAATACTCTTGATTTAAAAGATCTACTAATGTTATCATATTTTCAATTATGTTAAAATTTTTAAGTTAACTTCATAAGGAAAAAAGAATTTATCAAATCATAAACTTATTATTATATTTTATAACAATTTCTAATGGCTAATTCTAAGCCTATAAAAAACTAATTAAAAACAATTCTTATATATTAATTTTAGAGCTCATCCCCTAAAATCTAAAAATGATTTTAAAACATCTTTAAAATAAAGACTTTCTTTTCATTTTAAACTAAATTTATTTCTGAAGTAACTAGATATTTATAAAAGCGATTAGAATTTCACACCTAAATTTATTTTCAAAATCTTTTTGACACAAGAACTATCTAATAAATTTAGATCTTTTATTTTCGAGAAAAAAAATTACTTTATAATTTTAATAACCACTAATACAAAAGGTACCTTAATTTAAAAGTACTTTTTTTATGAAAAATTTTCAAATATTTCAATATTTCCTTCACAGTACTAATTCTCTATAGTTAATAATATATTTCGTTTACACTACTAAAATCGTTATACTTCTATAAATATTAATTTTAAACTATTTATATCAATTAAGAACCTTGTAATTTTACAAGCACCTTTTCAGTGTAAATGAAATGCTTAAACAGCTTGTTCTCACTAAGTACAATTTCCATTACACTTACCTTGTTACGACTTATCTCGTTTAAAAAAGAGAGCGACGGGCGGTGTGTACACAAGACAGAGCTCCCATCAAGTTTTATTAAACTTTACTATTAAATCCACCTTCAAAAGTAATTTCATAACTTTATCCGTTTTATTCAATTAAATGTAACCCACCTCTGTCTTTCTTATTTGCTGCACCTTTACTTGAAGTCAATAATTATATTATTAATGAAAGTTTTCTAATGAAACTAACTGCCAACAGCGGTATACAAACTGATCTCAAAAAAAAGTAAGGTATTCGTGGTTCATCGTTTATAGGGCAGGTTCCTCTAAATGGCTATCTTGCCGCCAAATCCGTTAAATTTCATTTTTACTACTAGTCCAAAACATATTTTTTATAAGTAACAGGGTATCTAATCCTGGTCCCTACTATAGTTTTTAAGTTTATAAATTATCGTCATTGTCTAAAAATAAAATTCTACCTAATAATTTTAGAAAACTCCTGGACTTTTTTATAAACAAAGTTTCGTATATAATTTTTAACTTGAAGCAGGAGTATAACCGCGGCTGCTGGCACGCCATTTTCCACTTCTTAGAAATTCCCTAGATAGAAAATTTTTATATTTCTAATATTTACTACTGAGGTTCACTTTTTAAAATTTATTTAATCACAAATTTTAAGCTTAAACTTACATGTAGAACTATTTCAGAGCTAAAAATACAACACGGACCTCAACGATCCATAAAAATTTATGAAAATTATGTTATTATTTATTAATAAATTATAAGATAATAAATGTAAAAAAAACTTCTATATATGTACTATGTATTATTTAACAGTAATTACCCTATAAGTACTATGTCATTCCTTTATATCTTCATTCGTGGATAGAATTTTTCGGAATAATCTAAAGGGAGTGAAATCCGAGATTAAGGGAGAAATTAACTCTAGAAGATGTTTGCCATACAATGAGTATTGGGGACACTATCTTATACAAAAAAAAAAAAAATAACGTTATATAAAACAGAAAATTTTCAGATAAACATTTTGAAAAAATTATTATCTAAAAATTTTCTGTTTTATTGTTTGAAAATATAAGTTAAAAATCAAATTCTAGACCTAGATTTTTAAAAAAATTAATAAAATTAATAAAGTGCCTGATAAAAGGGTTACTTTGATAGAGTAAATCATGTAAGAAAACCTTACCTTTATTAGAAAAGATAAGCTAAATTTAAGCTTTTGGGTTCATACCCCAACGATAGTGACACACTTCTTTTTAATGAACTTATATTTTCCACCTTTTATTTACTCCTTTTTTCTATTTACAGGAACTATAATTACTGTGTCTTCCTCTTCATTATTTGGGGCGTGAATAGGACTAGAAATTAATTTAATATCATTTATTCCAATAATGATTAATTCTGAGAACAATAAAAAAAGTACAGAATCAGCAATTAAATATTTCTTAATTCAAGCTATTGCTTCTGGAATTGTTATTTTTAGTGCTTTATACTTTTACTTTTTTAATAGTAGAACTTTATCACAAGTACCTAATATACTAATTACTTTAGCATTAAGAATAAAACTTGGAATAGCCCCTTTCCATTTTTGATTTCCAGAAGTTTTAGAAGGTTTAAATTGAATTAATTCCTTGATTTTGTTGACTTGACAAAAAATTTCCCCTTTAGTAATTTTATCTTTATTTTTTTATTCTAAAATTTTAATTACCTTAGCTCTGACTTCAGCTTTATTAGGTGCAATTTCCGGAATTAACCAAACTTCTATACGTAAAATTTTAGCCTTTTCTTCAATTTCACACTTAGGATGGATTGGGGGTATAATATATTTTAATTCTTCACTATGACTTGACTATTTTATAGTATACAGATTTACTAGATTTATTTTATGTTTTTCTTTTTGAATGCTAGACTTGAACTATTTCTCTCAACTTACTATACTAAAAAATCTTAATGCTAAATTTATTATTTTTATTAATCTTTTATCATTAGGAGGCTTGCCACCATTGTTAGGATTTCTTCCTAAATGAATGGCAATGATAGTAATTAAAACTAGTTTTCCTATTTTAATAATTTTAATTTTATCTAGACTAATTACTTTATATTTTTATACACGTCTTTGTTTTAGAACTTTCACTCTCTATATTCAGAGTATAACTTGATTTAAAAAAGAAAATAGCTCCATAAAAAACTTTTTCTTATTAAGAATTTTGACATTCTTTTCTATTATTGGAATTATGCCTATAAGACTATTATACCTGTAAGTGTTTTAGGTTAAGTTAAACCGAAAGCCTTCAAAGCTTTAAATGAGTAAATTACTTAAACACTA